ATATCATATATATTAATTTTTTATGTCCAGAATGTCTTCCCAATTACAGAACATTGCTTCTCTTACAACTTCTGTTTTCTTTGTTCCTTTTCCCTTGTTCCCTCCGTCGCCACAAGAGCGTGCAGTGAGGAGGGCATGGAAGGGGAGTTTCGAAGGATGCAGTGGGGTGAAGAATTCCTAATCACAAGGAAGTTTACATCCGTCGTGTCATGTGAGCGCCGCAGTAAAACAAAACCAAAGGCACGATAATCAAGAACGAACAAGTGCGCCTCAGTCCGCTCCAACATGCAGTGTGTGCTTGTGAGTGCAGTGTACCTTGCCAGGAAAGGGCGAGCGTGATTGGAGCAACCGGAAAGAGTAAATAGTTCGAAAAGGTAAGTGTGGCATAAATCATTTATTTTCTCGTATCTCTTGGGTTGATAGAGAAAGTTATGTAATGCTTTGTATGCCCTAATAGTACCGCTTTTACTGGAGGGTGTCTAAATTAATATTTAGTAAACGGAACATATATATTAGTAGGGAAAAATGGTACTTTTCTGAAACAATAGAACAATTAAAACGGCACTACTTCCGTCTTGCGCAGTTTTAGTTGAAAAATCACGCAGAAACTTTCCACTTTATGTGATTGAATTTTAATTCAGTTTTCGTCGCAGAGATTACTAACCAGAATGTATACATACTTCAATTACCCTCAATTGAAAGTGTTTTAAAAGGTAACAAAATCGTGGCTTTTACCATTGCTTTATTCTGCAAAAACATATGTGAATAGGAAAATGAATTTGATTCTCGAAGGACAAATGAAGCATTTAGTCTGGCTGGACCACCTAAGGTGACTACAGCGAATATCTTTGAAACGGTTTGAGGTATCGGAATGCCGTTTGCGCAAAGTTTTTGCAGATGACAGTCGAAATAACATTTTTAGTTTCTTCATAGTGTTCCCCTCTCTGTGCAGCTTGTGGCCTTGAAGAGCCACTCTGTTTACATCGCAGTAATGAACTTGCTGACTCGTGCAAGTGACACTAATGATTAATTACATTTATTTACTAACCTATTATGAATTTAATCTGTTATAAATATATCAATATAATTGTAGATTTGAGTATTTAACAGCAAGGACACAATATCACCCATTTCTAATTTTAAAGCCATTGATTCTGCAGATGGATCGAAGGGTAGTAAATTTTAATACGAGTCCCATCTTGAGATTTTTTAATAGAAAATAAATGAATTATCAAAGGCAGATGAACTGAAAACATCGATCTAATATTTGAATGATCTAGGGGCCAAATTTACATTTTCATACAAGAGTGAGTCAAAGATAAGTATGAGTTTGTTTGCCTTTTGATGATTTTAAGTAAATAAACAATAAATGCATTTCATTTTGTAATGGGAACACAAACTTTATTGCTATCCGATTTAGTATCAAAGAATTAGATAGTTATGCTTAGAGCAAAATTAGAAAAAAATGAACATAAAGTAGGAATGCAAGAAAGTACAACAAATATATACAGTTACATTGAAAATACTAACTCTCAATTTCGAGTACTATCTAGAGAGTTGGACGCCAGAAAATGGCTGACTTTTTTATCTTTCCGGAAATCCATTCCGGAAAGTCGCGAAAAAATTGGGTTTTAAGAAATGTAGAACCTCTTTTTCTACTCGTTCTTATCAAATATTAACAATTATATCATTTTAATTCGTCTCTTGGGTTTCTTTGCAATGGTGGTAGAAGAAGTGTATACATCCATTTAAAAAGTAAAAGTTGTGATATCTTAAAAGCTAAACTAGCTGTGCTACGAAATGGCACATACTCTCTCATACTAGTTAGTTTTCTATTTTTTTAGTTTGACCTAGCTTTTCGGTTATGCCCCATCTTCTCATTGTCTCACACGTCCTTCTCCCTAGTGGTAAAACTGCAATGTATCTTTAAGAATATTATAAAAGGATAAAACTTAGTTGCCTACGCAAATTCTCGTTGAAATACTTGGAATCGGGTTGGAAGAAATGTTCTTTGTGCGTTTCTGCAAATAAACAATTGAACACATGTCTTAGAGAAAACATGAGCTTTCGAGAAACTATTTTGCCAATCATTGGAAAAAATTCTCTCTCAAATGGAATAATGTACACATAACGTCCGTAAAATTAATATTAACGTAAGAGATAATTAAAAAATAAAAATTGATTTGTGTAATTTTGAACAAATAAAAGAATACATCAATTTGGTATTTACATTACGAACGTATGTTATTATGTGTCGTTCAAGCGTTTATGAAAATACGGAATTTTAAGCTCATTTTTATAGAAAACGTCCGAGTTTTCGAGAAACTTTGGCAGATATCATTTAAAGCACATGTACTCATACATACAAAAAAGTATTCTTATCGCTACTAATGTGACGTCATGGATACTCACAGCGACCACAGACACAGAGCTTTCGTATAACAAATATATTTATTAACAAGAAAACAAAACAAATATATACACTTAATAATTTACTTACACCCTAGCTCTGATAGACCTACTATCCCCTGATCGCGGGAGCGATCCAAAACCCGATTGAAGATGGTTTTGATTGTGGCATTCGCCACTCCTACTTTTGAAGCGCGCACAAAGCCTAGCTTCCGTGACCGGATGTCACGCTGGGACACAAAGTCCGTTCTGGCGCACCAACGGCTGGTTTGCCTCGATCGCAGGAGCGATCTTATCCGATTGAGAATCGGCGTGAATCGTGGCACTCAACCACTCTTCACCTCGGAGCACGCACACAGCATCGCTCCCCCGTGACCGCAGTCACCCAAGGACATAAAGTCCGCAGGCTTCGTCAACTAATGACTCCAGCCTCGCGAGCCTGGCTCGCATATGCACCGTCTTGGCGCCAAGTTTTGTGCACACGCACGAGGTTCTCCCACCGTCTCCAGAACCTGCCTACTGGCTCCGTACACTCTGTTATATAGGCGAGGCCCACGTGACCTCCTACGTCACGCCACCCCCTCGCTTGTTATAACAGTGAAAAGCGTCTATAAGCCGGAAGACACCCAAAGCCTTGTGTCTCCCGTCTCCGCGTTCTTCCCTTTACGGAAAAACCCTACTTCCTGTGGCGAGACTAATCCTGCCAAGCGTCCCCAAATAGATGCCACGAGGCACGCTGGCTAATACGTTACACTAATGTAAATATTAACGACGTGAGAGGTATTAAAAAATACATGTGTGTAATTAAAAATAACACAGCAAAATAGCGTTTAAGTCATCTTATACACAGCATTTAGCAATACCAGTACAAAAAGTTTGAAAAAAAGACATTTTTGACAAAATCTCTTTTTTTAATATTTTTTTAATATTGTCCAAATTTCACTCAAAATTACGCGAAAAATACTCATCTTCTCAAAGCATGGGCATGATGTAAATTAAAGAATTAATTAAGAACAAATTTAATTTCAAGAAAAAATTCTTTATTCAATATTAGAGTTGTAATTGAATTGTTAGTCAAAAACATCAAATATCGTCAATTTTCGAAAATTATGAGATAACAGTGAATATGCGACATATGACACCTTTTTATGTTAATAATCTGGAAGTTTAGAGAACACTTGGCAATGACAAGGCATTACCTGGCTCTGGGAATATTCATTTTGAAAAGAAATCCTACGAATAGTTTTGGCACTATTGTTTTTCACAGACGGATAGACGAATGGGCAGAAAAACAACCAGAGACGGACAAATGTTTTTGAAAAAACTCTTTATCGGTATCATGCGACGTCAAATCGTGTATTTCCGTTGAAATCTTGAAATCGAATTTCTGCATCATTACATAACTCAGTACTACATACATTACTCCGTATGTATGTACTCCTTTGCATACGAGAATATAAACTTACAGTGATATAACAGCACATTTTCTTGCATTATTTATAACTTTTACGGTTTTCAAAAATTAAGTGACTTCGGCGAAACTGAGACCTGCGTCATTCTTTTCAGCGACCATTGTTCAATCTATGGGGAAAAAATTAAAGAAAAAATTGGGATCAGTTTTTTGAGAAAATTTACTTTTCATAAATTGCATTATTTGAAAGTATAAATTACGCAAAAAATACTAGTTATAATCAGAACATCTACATCAGGTATTTTAAATATCTGATTTTGTAGAACACATTTAATTTAAGACAAACATCTCTTAGGCGACCTTTACGCTATCCGTGGATAAAGTATAATCAGAGTCAACTTTGAGAAAACTTTGAAAATGTTTTTCAGGCTTCATGTAAAATACTATCAAAAATGTGTTTGAAACTTCCAAAGCCTCGAATTCGTTCAGATCGATCGGGGAACATCAATTTTGGAAAAAAATTGGCCGACCTGTTTAAGCATTAGTTTTGACACACAGCGTTTGCCATCAATCGATTTTTTAATATCAAAGATCCACAAAACAATAACTCTGGCTACATCTCGAGTTACAGGTAGTAATTTACTATATATAGCAACAGAATTTACCATTTTGTTTTTAACAGGACCCGACAAAAAGAGTTATTCTTACGAAAATTTTCCGTTTTTCGGCGCACGATTACAATTTTGCACGTACATTCGTACGTAAGTAAAGACTAGGAAGTAAAATGAAACACAAAAGTAGTCAATTTAACATAAGCACTATAAAAATAATCAACTTTAATTCAATTAAGTTTTTGGTCGAAATAATTACAAATAAACACAGCACAAATAACACGATAATTCAGGCGTATTTATAGCTGCTTGGCTGTCCAGGAATATGCCACGTCCTAGGCACAGGTGCTGTTTTTGCCGCCATTCTGCGACCTTCTTCAGGGTGAAACTCATTTAAACGTTTGTACCTCTCCTAGGACGCGGCGTCTCCTGGACAGCCAAGCAGCTACCGACTCCGACTGCGGAAGCCTATGCTTTCATAAGGCGTATCTAATTTGTCCACAGAGTCTGTTGAAATCAACATGAGCTCGGGTGAAAACGTCAACACGCGCGTTTGCTCTTGCGCGCAGGTAGTGCGAGCTCTGCGAGCGGCCATGGAGACGCTGTGCAGCGGCGGCGAAGGCCGTTCCACCGCGGAGCCGGCAGCCGAGGATGAGCGGCGTTCGGCGGTAGCTTCCGCCGCTGGCGACGCCATAACTCCCACCGAAACCGCTGTCCTTGGCGCTGCTGGTGCCGCCGCCGCCTCGGACGACGGCGGGACGGATTCGGACGACAGCGGGACGGACTCGGACGACAGCGGGCCGGACTCGGACGACGACGGGACGGAGGACGTACGTCGACTGCTGGCGCTGGGCGCGGACCCGACCTTGCGGGACGCCGACGGCGACACCGCCTACCACCACGCCGCCGCCGGCGGCAAGTTCGCGATGCTGGAGGCGCTGTTGGAGGCGACGGAGGCGGCGGCGCCGGAGGGGGCGGACGGGGCGCGCTGGGCCAAGATGGCGGCGGACGCGCGGGGCCGCGACTTGCGCACGCCGCTCCACGCGGCCGCGGAGGGCGGGCACGTGTTGGCGGTCTGCATGCTGCTCGCGGCCGGTGTCAGCGTCGACGCCGCCGACGTAAACGGGCGCACCCCGCTGCACTTAGCGACCGACCAAGGCCACTGCGAGGTGGCGAAGGTGCTGCTGGGGGAAGGCGCGGCGGTGGACGCCCCAGACAAGAACACACGCATGCCGCTGGACGCCGCCGCCTCCGGCCACGCTCCCCTGGTGCGCCTGCTGCTGGAGAAGGGCGCCGACCCCTTGCGCCGCGACGCAGCAGAAGGCACCAGCGTGGTTCACGCCGTGCGAGGAGGGGATCGCGAAACGCTGCAGGTGCTCCTAGACAAAGTGTCGGACCGTGGACGGCAAAGACGGCTTCGGGCGCCACGGCGCTGCCACTACGCAGCCGGTTTCGACCAAGTGGATTTGAATGTGAAACGGAAGACCGTTTGCATAGTAACAATCAAATTGATTACTAATTCTAATTAAAGAAGCACTAAATCGATCAGCGTAGTAACCCGCCGCCGCCGCCACCGCTGCCACCAACGGTCAAATCGGGGGTAGACGGGCGAGGGGTGTGACGGTTAGAGAGTATAGCAGAGAAGCCGCGAGCGCAACACGGACGGGCTGTGCTGCCTCAGCAAGTTTATAGTGATATTACCAACAGTTTGGAATTGATTGTAGCCATTAAGTGGGAGATTAGAGGTGATAAAAATTGATAATCAGGTGATTAAGAGGAGTGGAAGTGCGCACCAGGACCGGGACCAGTGAAAACATTAATACTGTAGTTTGAGTAGCCCGACAGACACGCGTTCCATTCCGCCCGTGTGTGCATGCAGCAGCGGGCCGCACCGCTGCGAACATTCGAGTGGGATTGAGAAGAACTGCTGAGATCGGAACTGCGACGGACGCAATTAGTGCGTTGTGCATGTTAGTATATGTGGCATTGCTTGTACTGGCGGGTGGGGTGGACCCCGGCGAACTCGTTGGCCTTGCGTGGGGGGCCAGCGGAGTCGACCGCCGAGGGAGAGCGGTTCCCGACAAACTTCGGCGGACCGAAGTTTGCGAAACACGCCCGCCGCCGTTGCCACGGCCGGTCCACGCTCGCCTCAGCCAGCCGGTGATCATCGAAAGCCCTCAAGTAGCGTTACTTGTGCACGAATCACTAAGGCTTGCGCACTGCGTATTGTAAAGATTTTTTGTACAGTGTGTTTCAATCCCAATTTTTAATTGAGCAAAAGAGTTTTCTTCGATCATTCTTCCAATGCAGCGTCAAACCCCTGGAAGCCCCATTCACGAGAACTGTACCCGTCCTTTATATCATTTTATTTGTCGTGAGAGTACCGTTTCCCAGGTACGTCACAATAGAGATGCTGCGTGAGAAAGGGGCGGACATCGAAGCTCCAACAGACGAAGGGAACACCCCTTTTTGGATGGCGGCCGGCAGCCCTGCGGCCGTGGAGAAGCTTCTGGCCAAGGGCGCCTCAGTCCAGGAGCAAGGGTTGATCCAGAGGGTTGCCGCTGGTAACACCGACGAAGCCAAACAGTTGTTGCTTGTGGCTGCAGCCAAGGGCGGCAGCGCCCGCGCAATCAAAGCACTGGTTGTCGCCGGCGCGAGTAGCCGAGAGCCCGTCCTGCGACTAGCCTTTGAGAGCGCGGCCAACGCAGATGTCGTCTGGGCTCTGGGGGACGTCGACCCGAGCAACTTCCGGCAGGCAGCGGAGGCGGCGTTGCTGCCGCTTGCGACCGCCGGCAACGTCACGGCGCTCAAGGCTGTTATCGCCACAGGAGTGGAGTTCAGTCAACGCGCTTTTGAAAATCTCGCACGCGCCATTGAAGACAATAGCGTGAACTGTCTTTCTGCTTTGATACAGTCTATGCTAACCCGCGATGCGGAATAATCAAATAATGGTCGTGCCAGAATTTTTGATTATCTATTTACTGATTAATTACCGCGAATCTGGTGACATCTTTTCAATATACTGACGTTACTCCAGTTCTTGATATCAAACTTGCTTAGACACTACAGCTGAATTAAATAAACCTAGTGTTAGTATTTTTAATTTGTTAAAATTATTAATTGAATGATACCAAACTTTACCTCTAGTTTTATTTGAATGTGTTATGCTCTCTAGGCCAGTTTGATATCACATTTGCTAATCTCGGTATTCTGGAAAAGGATGGAGGTTAAATGATTAATTTTAAACGAGTAATTAGCAGTTAGGGAAAAATTCTGCGCTACATCTGCATTACACTTTGTTATTGTGACAATGCAGATTGACTGTCCAGCTTTTATAGACCTTAGGTGACACCAATGAGAGAACTTGTCTACAGAATGTCTTACATAGTTATTTTCAGTCTGACAAGAAAGGAAAAACCATAAGCATCTGTTTTAGTGAGTATTACGATCAAGTGCACGTATTATATTCAATATATTTTTATATTTTGTAGAAAATTTAATACAATCAGAATAAAATATGTATCTTGTACTAAGAAAGTAAAATATACACTGTGTAAATACATTTAAATATATTTTTTTCATTCTTTCTTTTTCCTTTTAAGGATACTTTATTTACTCGATAAAATGTTTCATACATTTACATGTGAGGGTATGCTGATCGTAAAACAAAATAATGAAAGTGTACATGAAAAGATTTTTGTGAAATTCGAAAAAGCAATAATTCAATTTCTGGCATAGACATGTGTAAAAAGTAATGAATATCTTATTAGTCAGCATCTTCAAAATGTATTTGTGTTAAACTATTAAGGTCTTGGGGAATGATACTTCATTTATTATTCTATGTACTAAAGCAAAACACAGATTATGAAAGGTAAGTGTTCCAGAAATTAACAACGGCCCAAAGGCTGAAACCGACACTAAGATTTAAATGACAGTGATATTTTTGAATTATAACTTTGTACTGTCTTCTTTGATGGTGAATATACGCCGGTATTCTATATTTTCCTTGGTGAATATATATTACACACAAATATAAGAAGCATAGAGTAAACATTAAACACTATCTCATTTTGTAAAATAACGCAGTAAGATTAATATTAATTTATTGTGGTTCAAATAGGACACCTTTGTTCATTTTCAGATTGGTTCACGATTTATGTTGGTTCTGAATATGTATAAGTTACATTATGAAGATTTTCCAAAAATAAATGTAAATCTTAACGTAATACTAATGATGCTGAAGTACATGAATTTCAATTGCCGAAGTAATGCATAACATTCCATTAAATTCCTTTTTTTATTCCATTAAAAACGACGACTACATGAATTTCAATTGCCGAAGTAATGCATAACATTCCTGTGAGGTGTTTGTAATGAGCATTACATATTTTTATAACTTACCTCATTTTATAAAAAAGGACTACTGTAAGACCCGTGTACTTGAATCCCGAAGTGAAATGATGGATTAAAAACGACGACGACATGAATTTCAATTTCCGAAGTAATGCATAACATTCCTTTAAATTCCTTTTTTTATTCCATTAAAAACGACGACAACATGAATTTCAATTGCCGAAGTAATGCATAACATTCCTGTGAGGTATTTGTAATGAGCTATTACATATTTCTATAACTTATCTCATTTTATAAACATGGACGATCGTGAACTAGAATCCCGACGTTAAATGATAGCTGATTGTCAGGATGATTGACTATGAAATGCTACTTATTAAAAGCGATAAAAATATTTAACAAATACAACAGAAACAAACGGAGGAAACCATAGATGTACCTAAATGAACTTGAGATTAGCCAATCGCTACAAAGCTTATATAGTTCTTTGGTAAATAAACTGAAGAAATCATGCACAGGGGAGACAAAGGAAAGCTGTTAGGTCCGTCTAGAGCACAGTCGTCCTATGATTTCTTCAGTTGAAACCTACCGCTGAGAACTTCATACTAATCAGCAAAAGTGCTTGTATAAATTATGTGTACCAATCAATTCTTCAATCCGCATACAAGAAAAATTAGTATTTACAATTATATAATTTGAGAGACATAAAATGGGTTGCTGGATGACCAAGAGGTTATTAAAGAAAATAAAAAAATAATTAAATAGATAGGACGGAACGCAATAAATTTTATAAATACTTTGAAACTCTATCCATCAATATTGTTTCAGAGGCAACAAAAATCAAGAATTACATATATGCTAATAGATAACAGCGGATGTCAGCAATAGAAGTAATCATTTACTCTCCTATCTCCAGGATGAAAGGTCTTTTAATTAAAATAATAATATAAATTACAAAAAAGGTTTAATTAAAATATAAAACATCATTGAAGAACTTTAAGTAGAGTTAACCCTCGAGGATTCGCGCTACCTCCAGATGAAGTCCATTAATTGTTTGCTGGCGCGCAACCTCTTCTGAGTTTAGATTGTTGGAAGCATCAGTAGCTTCAGATAACTTGTCACTCTCACCATCTAGTCTGCTTTCAAACTTTCCATTGCTAGTTTGCTCTTGTCAGAGTGTTTCGGTCGGCCTGCAGTTGTAGCTAGTGCCAACACTACTCTTTTAACTGGTAGAAAGGAAGTTTGCACTGCAAGAAATCTGGAAGGCGGTGAACTGTCAGAGTCATATACTATTTTCATTTACTACAATTATTTGAATCTTCTATCTAGATCCGAAAACAAATCACCAGTTTTTTTTCCATTAGGAGACCGAGACGCGCCGAACCACATCTCATACGTCTCGATAGGTGCACGGGAAGCCTAGCTGCGAGTGGCGGAATCGCACACATCCGCACATATGCAAATACGCACACTCAAGAGCTTTACTCGAATACTGTATAGGGATAGTATGCTATTGTTACAACTGTTAAATGATTGCAATGAATTTTCAATGAATAAATAACATATTTGTTATGTTAATAGACTCCGCTTGCGCGTTCTTTATCCGGAAGACCCCCGAATGATTACGTATTTAAAATGTAGTTTTATGCCAAGAGCATATATCTTAATAATTGAGGAGCACCATTTGAATTTTACTTTGGTAAATTAAAGAGATTTGTAATCATGAAGAGGAATAGAGAAAATACATCATTTGTAATTTTGTTGGTTTTGCCAGTGTAAAGGGTACACATGATTTTCGTTCTGTGTAAAATTTCATTTTTCTGAGAGATAGACTATTGCATAAGTCGTTTCTGGTGTGCAGTGTACTATGTGTTCATAATAATGTATGGTTATTAATAAATGCAATTGTTCACTTCTGAATTATACAATTCAGGCAGCATCTAAAAACTACACTTCCCTGAAAATAAAAACTACAAATCAAGGAAATAAAGTAAATTTTAATCCTTACAGAAAAAGCTCCGCAGAGCCATCCACCAATACAATGATTACTAATACTGTGTAGGTATGTATGCGTGTGTGAATCCGGCACCGGATACGTTCGTTTGCGAAAGGAGGAAGAACCTCATACTTTACCCCATACTATCTATTTTCTATTATTTTTATCACTGAGTCGAATGCAAAAACAATTCTTTAAACTGATAGTCTGTGATATATTTACTTTAACTGGAATTATAAACATTTTTTTGTTTCGAACGTGGGCAAAAACCTTCTCTGTACTTATATGAGCACGCAAATACCTTCACATCCGTAGGAAATTACGTACAATCTGGTGATATATTTTCTCAGAGAGACCGCTTGGCTGTAATTACCTACTAGAACGATACTTTGCAAACGAGGTGAGTTAAATGGCATTTTTATCACCTCCTATTTTACTTGGTTCCAGCTTCAGGAGATTTGTCAATGTCTTTCTTCTGTTAGTTACGCGTCTTAAAACGTTTCTTTTTTATACATCCTTCTTGTTGCTTAATAAATTGCTTTCTGATACCGTGCTTATTATTAAATTTTCGTTAATTTTATGAGACAGGACATTGTTTATTATCACTCCATATTAGAATTTATTTTGTTGTTTTTTCAAAATAAACAATATTATTTATTTTCTCATTGTTGATGCACATTATTTCGAACATCGAAAACCCACGAGTAGTTTTTTTCTTCTAAGATAATTTTTGCGTTAAATATTACCTCACAGCGTAGTTTGAACAGTAATAAATGCTGACGTTTAAAATATTTTTGACTAGATTTTTCTAATTTAACTGACTTGATTTTTATTCTTTTAAAATGTTTATTTATTGTTTAAATAATACCAAATTCCTAATTAACACATCAGTGAGTTAATGAGAAGTTACGATAATGCAACATTGTATTAATTATTTTGAATATCCTGTAGGTGACAATTATTTTAGTTATATGTTTGCTATATTGTCATACTTTTATTTACATTGTAACCATATCTTATATGCCTATTACTGCAATCCCTTTTGATAATTTTCAGTAATATTTTTAAAACCAAACACTAAAAACGTCATGATAAAATGTTTGGAACTCAAAAAATAATGAATGGTTATATTGCTCCTCGCATTTGTCTGAAAATGACACCAAGTAAATTCATTGTGTCATGAATATTTCAAAACTCCGGAAAATGAATGTCGAAGGGCAAGTAATAAAATGAAAAAGTAGTTGTGCTACAAGAGCGCATATTTCTCTCAGGAATTAAACAGCTCCGCAATGCTATACTGCTACAAGAACCTGCAAAAGTGTTTGTAAGTAAGCGGTGACAAATGACGAATGAAAGATTAAGCGCGGTTCTTGGCTCATTTATTAGGGTACTGCTCCGGTAATCGCCTCGCGTTAATCAGAATAAACACGGAAAACCAACAATTAGAGCAGTCGGCTGCTAGAATTCTCCTCCAGACAGGTGCTGAATTCGTCCTAGCTACGTCAGATATCCTTGCACCGTCGGGATTCGAACTCTACGACGAGGCAGTTTAGGCACTTTAGTCAGAGGCACTTTAGTGACATCAATTGAAGCACTGAGGCACATAAACATAGGGATTCGAATTCTACGACGAGGCAGTTTAGGCACTTTAGTGAGAGGCACTTTAGTCAGAGGCGCTTTAGTGACATCAATTGAAGCACTGAGGCACATAAACTGGTCTGTTCTGTCGTAAGCAGGGACGAACTGAGAATGAGCATTCATATAGAAGCGAAGTAAGTGGACAGGCGAAGTAACACATTAAAATATTGCATCTTTCAGTCAAACTCGACAAGGTTTTACTGTTTTTGGATTATACTGAATTCTATGCAAGCCGTGAAAAGCATAGACACCTCTCAAATGTCAGAAGTTGCATAATTTTGTTTCAATTCCTGGGTACATTGGAAATTAGTAAAGCAGTGTTGAAGTTATAAGTACGTGTGATAGGCACGCTGGTTTTGTAAATAAGTATAAAAGAACATAAGTAGAGCCCGAAGTTTGTGAAAATGTCTTTTATTATTGTAACTATTGTATGCCTTCCAACATTAGGAATCCCTTTATAGTATTTCTGGAGTTATTTTTGTAGATTTTCATTTTGCCTATTGTAGCTTCTTATGTGTATTTTTGGCAGTTTGCCTTATTTCTGCCCTTTTCTGCCTTGTGTGCCTTTTCTACCTTTTTCGTTATTATTTTCCTTCTCCTGGCACTGATCTCTATCAGGCTGGAAACATACCTGGTAACCTAGACAACGTGAAGGCACGATCTTCTATTAGAGTTAAAATAAAAATATGAATAATTTTAATTTTAAATTTCTTTACAATTATTACTTTTAATTGATGATTTTACCCCTAACTTTAGCCAGAATAAATGCCTATTTTAGTAAAATAAAATGACTTCTTGTCTGTCTCTTTTACGTAAAATAAATGTCTGAACTTCCGGGCTCTAGAAACAAATATGAATGTATGTATGAGGGAAGGTAGATATAAGTAGTGAGGTTTGTGCCGTAGGGAAATTGAGTGGCGTGTGGGCTTCAACGACCGGAATTCGAACCCCAGCACGGAGAACAACGTTTTGTTGGTTGAAAACTCTTATGCAGTTTCATCCAGAATTATCATTGTGTAGCCTTTATAAAAATTTCATAAATGTATTTGCCGTTGTAGTACCACAAGTTTTGTTTCACGTCAGTTTCAACTGTGTGAACAGGAATTCTAATTTCATGGAAATAGTTCACTTAAAGTTCATGGAAATTTTCTGGAAATTAATCAGTCTTTTAAAAGCGTCAGTTACCATGCCTCTATTGTTATGTGTTTTGATGATTTCAAAAGTTTACGAATTCACACACCATTATGCTCCGTATGGTTAAAATGAAGTTATTTTGTAATACTGGAAATTTTAGTCCATATTGATATAAATCAAACGAAAACAATGATTTGAATGACTTAGTACACATAAATTATGCCTAATCATCTGCTTAATCTCTTTTTTGAATATCATGGTAGGCAAGGCAATGCAATTCGTCAACTTCATCTCACAATGTTATTTTGACAATATGACAACATTTTGTCTTCTGTCCGGAGTGCTTAATAATATAGGTTAGTGTGAAAAGTATGAAATATATTTTTTTCATTATTGCTTTATTATTTTCGTCTCAAGTGGTATGTTATTATTTCTTATTTACACTTTTCTGCATTTACCTATTTTGTCTAAGTGGTTCTCACACTCTACTTTTCGTTACAAAATCCAACCCCCTAATCAAATTTATTTTATTCTAAGTGTTCATATATTTTTCGTTGTTTCTTATATTTCCAGCAATTATTTTGCTCAAATTCTTCATTATCTATTTTCAGTTCATTTTTTTTCTTCCTGCTTTGTATATTAATATTGGTCACTTCAATGTTTTGTTACATTTGTTCATTCTCACTTTATTCATAATGGCATCAAAAATTAAAGAGAAAAAAGTTTCTGCTGTCTGTCTGCCCATTTCATTAATTTTTGAAGATACTGCAGTTGTTTGTCTGCCGGCAGTTACGTGAATTGGCCAATCCTAGTAAGGCCACCGTTATTCGCCGTCGCTGCAAAATTAGTGCGGCAGCGGAGCGCAAGAAGTGGTCGTTAGAGGCTGAACCTCTGCCTACTCACCTTGGGGTTTCCGCAACTCTCCTGAAAAGTCCGCAACACTAGGAAACCACGTGCTGCATAATTTGGGCTGCTTCAATTTGGGTTGCTAAAGCGGATCCTTAAAACTAGAAGATACTGACAGGTGTCCCACGCAGACTTCTGCATACGTGAAAACAGTTGAATGTTCCCATTAACATTATTAGTTGTTTTTTTATTGCAGCACAGAGTATCGCTCTCATTTGTCAATTGTTGCAATGACCTGGTGCTGACACGTGAGCGCAAGTAATGCTCATAAGTACACCCTTGAGTGCAAGGCTTAATGCCTGAATAGTAAGTTCATGTGTTTCTGTCTATGGTCAGTTTTCATTTAGTGTTATAATAACTGGTATTTTCATCATTAGAAGACAGAACTTATTTCTTCTCATTAGCAAACTGATCCACCATCCAGAAATGTTTCGAATTTTTTGACTGATAAATATGTATCCGTACAAAAGTCCTATACTCTGCGAAACGGCTTAGAAATGTGAAAAATTCAAAACGTGAAAACTAGCAGCAAAAGATATTTAAAGATAAAAAATAAATTTACAAATGTAAAGTAGGCCTAGATGTAGCACATACGTTTTGCATTGTTGGAAACCATTACGTAACATTGAAATATTTCCGTTTCTGCAACTCAGCTAAAAATGTAAAAAGTTGAATTTAACCAATTCAAACGAAGTCCCTGTCGTGAATATCTGCATTTATTTCGATAGCTAGGAACAGTTGTCACATCTTGCATTTACAAATGAATCTAACATGAATAAGTTTAACTGTTACAGCATTTACAGTACTTTACACAGAAAAGCAGAGTTCTTTGTTCGTAATAAACTATTCAACTATAGGAAAGGGAACAATTGATCAACACGATATGCTCTCATGGAATAAGTGAGATGATCTGATTAATGCATGAGTCTACAAATAATTACTATATGTACCAGCACCAATAATGTGTGAAGTACAGCACATACTTTCTCGTATTAGTGGAAGTTGTTACGTAATATTGAAATATTGCAATTTCTGCCCCTCTAACACATCTGCTACAACTTCAAGTGCAATTCAACCTTTTCATAGTAAGGATCATTGGTGAACATCAGCAATCATTCCGAAAGTCAAGAAATTAGAAAGAATATTAGTTATTTCTTAGTTTTGTAAATGAAACAAGCATGAATAAGTTAGGTGCTTCACTATTTGCCGCACATTATACAGAAAAGCAGGAATAATTTCACACAAGCTTGCCTGAATTTTAAGGAAATAAGCACCCAATTTCTGAATATCAAAAACAGCGATCAAAACGTCATAGAGTAAAATAAATGTATTTGTTAGTGCTTTGAAGTTTCTTTGAGGTTTGAAATTAAAGATATTACTTTCCTTAAATTTATTTCCTTTTATAAAACATCACGACCGGCAACATCATACGAACATCACGACCCGGCAACAATGAGAAGCATTTTTATATTTTGAAATCGCCGTGTGGCCATTTTGCGCTTTGATAGAACGTTAAACGTAACATTACATGTAATTGAGCTTCAACATTTTTTGAAAACCATAATTAGCGTTGAAAACTACTTAAAGTAAAAGAAGTGTTTTTTTTTGTTCTAAGTTAAATCTATTACGTTCCTTCAATGTATTTGCTTTTATAAGAATATTATCTTCATCATACGACTGGCAACAATGAGAATCATTCGAATAATTTTAATCCATCGGGCTGCCATTGCGCGTAATGATATCGTCAAACGAAACATAGAAAATCTGGATTTACAATTTTCGAAAATATAGAGAGTGCGCCAAAAAATGGCAAAAGCCACACTTTCTTTACCCGAGTTTGCTTCACATGCGGAAAAAATTTAAAGAAAAATATGGAGTGGAAAAATTTGCTTAGGTTTCAAAATAACTCATGTTTTTGAATAAACTAACATCATCTTATTTGAAGATATTTGTGACGAACACATTTCATGAAGGAAGAAAATAATCTTCACAATTGTAGTTGTAAGAACTCGCCGAAAATATGTTGAATTTTTGCAATATTCAAAAATTCTTGGAGTGATACGAAAATGTGACTTATGCTCCTTCTTTATGTGTCTTTTTCTCTGTCAGAGAAAACCATTGTTAAAAAAAGTGGAGCTTGTCAGAGAACAAATTAGTATAGTGATACAGAAGTGAATAAATAACCTTCGTTTGTCTTCTGGAAAAATGATTATATTTACATACATTTCTACAAGAGCAATTTTTAACATCAATATTAATAATCTGTGTGGTAAATATTAACTTATCAGTTTCGTCAACAAAACGTATCAATGATAGCATCAATAATGTTTTATATTATGTAAATATTCTAAAACGTGTATTACACGACCACGCATGTCCGTAAACCAGACGTGAGCTTAGAGCTTTTCCCACTGGGTGCTCTCCTGAAGAATATACCTGGAGACAGAACACGACACGCAGAATTGTAAGTTGGCGCCGAATCTTACAATCTGGAGGAAGAGATACCCATTAACGTCTCTGGTAAAAACATGCACCAGAGTTTCTATACTAATAACCAAAGCTGTTGACGCTACAGGGCTCTCTCTTATAGACTCACTGCGTGTTTTCCCGGTTTACAAAGGTGTATCGTATGGAGAGATTACTCTAAGAAGGGACCGCTTGACAGCTACCGCTTTGGCCCCGCTGGCAATATAAGTGCAAGTTACATCCATGCACTCATTTTGCCGGTGCGCTCATTTACAGTTAACTCACTTTTAAAGCTGCATCACTATTTCTTGCAATTCCATCGCCCTGCATGACGTTCATAATGTTTTTCCCGCCCTTTCAAAGTGGTCCCTTATTAAGGCCCATTCACAATTCAAACGTAAATATAAGCACAACGCATAGACGTAAAAATTAACGTAAGAGATAGACTGAAGTATTCACAATGCCTGTCATAAACGTAAGCAAAATAAAAGTTTTGTATTGGCTGTAAACATTTTAGTTTACTATTGGTTGGATGTGTGAATCTATGTTTCGACTGTGTCCATGGCCCTTAAGGCGTTAGTCTATCGACTTCGCTCATATTTCGATTGCCTCTTTTGAGTTAACGTGCTGTGATTGGCTCATTTCGTATGTCTTACTTCAGCATAAGCCCAGAAGCTTGCAAGCTTTTTAAGTTCACGTCTTACGTGTTATGCTTATGCGAACGAGTCCGCTTATGGACGTAATCCTAACTTTTATGTTAACGCCATGCTTATGTTTATGTTTGTGAATGGGCTTTTAGGGTAACTACCGCACACAAGAAGTACGTTCTTGGCCCTGCACTCAGCTTATGGACGTAATCCTAACTTTTATGTTAACGCCATGCTTATGTTTATGTTTGTGAATGGGTCTTTAGAGTAACTCCCGTACACAAGAGGTACGTCCTTGGCCCGGGGCTCAGTCCGCTGCCGGAAGAGATCGCGCCACGCGGCCTCGCGATCGCAGCTGGGCGTTGAACGCCTCCACCGCCTGGCGATGGCGCCGCAGGAACGCGTCCCGCTGCTGCTGCCACCACTCGCGCGCGGATCGCGGCGGCGCGGGCGTGGCCTGGCGTGGTTTTGGTGGCGGTGGAGGCGGCGATGGTGGCCGCTCGTCCGGATCCCGCGGCGGCTCCAGGTCCTCGACTTCCCGGCTGCCTCCCGCCGCCGCCTCCAGCCTTCTCGGGGAGCTGGGAAAGAACAGGAAGAATTAGCACCACACACATGCGAATTTTTTCGATATTTGATTCTCTATTATTTTCGTATAAAATAAATGTTTCGTATAAAAATTTATATTCATGTAAACTAATTTATAACAAATTCAGTAATCAAAATCAGTAACAAGATTTATAACAAATTATGTAAATTTATCAAAACAAGTAACGATCTTATGGACTTCGAACGAAAACACAAATATATTTATAAGATTAATTGCAGGATAATTAATTAATAAAAGACATCGTTTAATTCTACATATATTGGAACTACTAAACGTGCACTAAAAGAGAGAATGAAAGAACAAAGACAATCAACTGACAAACATAATGTCACTAAGCGTAGAATCGACTATAACCACAACATGGACTGTGATAATATTCAGATTCTTGAAGTCGAAAATTAATATCAAATAATATTCCCTTCGGAAGCACTTTATATTCTCGTACTAACAGAACCAATGGCACATTAAATATACAGACACTAATATCTTACATAATATCTATAAATCTTTTTGGACTTAAGCTCTTGCAGATCATTACATATTGACAATAACTGGTGGCGTCCGTTTTTAACAGGTTATGAACATATCACCAATATTCTACACACGATGTTATTACAGGTACAATATAAGTTGCCAATCTGAGATACGTTTAATTTTGATTACCACACTGATCATTTTTGGGTATCAATTTTATATATTACTTTTTTCTTATATTGTATATATCCATCTTGTACCTGAGGATAAACTCAAATCTGTGACGAAACGTAGTTCAATTGGGAGATTTACTGTAATTATAAGAATCAAATTGTTGTATGTCTGTTTTAATGGCCTACTTTTATTAATATTCATTACAGACATGTATTAAACCTTACAGGAGGTAAACAAATAAGTAAATAAATAATGAATGAATAAATAAATAAATAAATAAATAAATAAATAAATAAATAAATAAATAAATAAATAAATAAATAAAATAACCTCTCGGAGGAAACCGGAAGTACATCTGCCACCGCGTCATCCCGAACGCCCAAGGGCGGGGGCGGGATAGGGCCACTGACGCCGGGCGGGAAGAAGGGCCCCGAGGGACCTGGCACCGGCCCCCCCGGCCCCACGGGCCCCACCGGCACCAGCGGGGGCGGCGAGAACAGCGGCACCGCGTCGCCGTACGACAGGGACACGGCGTAGTTCACCACCTGCACACATTCATTGCTTAATGATTCCGGGCGGGTCTAATGCGAAGATCATTAGTTCCCTAAGGGTAGTGAGTGTAGTTTCATCGCGTGAATTGGCGGCGATCTTCCGTCGCTGAATGGCGAGATTTGTCGCCGACCTATGGCAGCTTGCGGAGATTTTCCCCAATCAGTTATCTCCCTTCATTGGGGCAACGTTCGAGCCGAGAGTAAACTCTGAGCTCCCGATAAGTGTGATACCGAAATATTAGCACGTAGCTGATGGTATTTAATCGTGGACCATGTAAAAGTGACTTAACATTTCATTCCGCAAATGAAAAAAATCTTGCTTATTTTACCTTCCTATAAGAATATTTGCTACTGTCATCAATCATATATATATATATATATATGATATCAATATCGGATATCGGGGTAATCGTTGATTCATTGATTCATTGATTATATGTTTTAGGGAGAGTAAACTGCTATGGTAATTAGTCCAGTAAGCTTAGTGCACTTTTTTAATCTTGGAAGGTTGTTGTGGTTTCCCCTATTGGATGGTCAGATCCGGTTTCGACCTACACATAGCTTGCAAGGTTTTCCTATCCAGATATTTCTTACCAAAGAGCTCTGCCCCAGCTAGGGTAAACTCTAATCTTCCAACTGCTCTCCTACGATATCTGGAGTTCAAGAAAGTGTAATTGTAAGGGGTGAGGATAGAACAAGGGAGACAAAGGAGAAATCGCGCGTGCTCTGTGTCCCGTTTGTTAAGGTACTGGTCCAGTATTTGCCTGGCGTTGATCGGAAAACCGATCAAAGCAGCTGACCGCTAGAATTCTTCTCATGGGAGCGACTGAATTCGGCTTAGCTATGAAGCTCTGACGAAATTCCTACCACCACAATCCTACGAATCTCTTGGTCAGAATCACTGAACTGATATCTGTTCATGCTCTATGCCACCTCGATCGGTCGGCTTCGTCTTGCTTTCTAAGACACGAGTGACTTGGTTACGTTGGAATTAGGATCCCGACGCACGTTGATGTCCCGCGATTTGATGTGTTCATATTTGTGAAAAATACAAGCAAAGTCAGCATTTGAACTCTAATGATACAGAATGTGACAGTAAAACCCAAATGACACCTTCTCGTATTGGTTGGTTAACGGAAGATAGCCATTGAGTTCAGTAAAACTGAAAACGATTGAAAGGTTTATTTTTATCTAAGAAAAAATAAATATAATTAATAAAGAAATATTTTCTAAAAAAATGTAAATATGTCTAAAATTGTATATGCTTTAAAATTGCCAAAAAATTCTAAATAAAACTTCGCCAAAATACTTCATTTTTTATAATTCGTGCACATTTACTAATACTCTGTAAATATGTTCAGCAGCAAAAGGGGTGTTCCCAAACTGCAGACGTAAAGACTGAAGCTTCTTTCTCCATGACAGGTCTGTCAGAAGCAGTTACCCATTAAGACGACTATTCGGTCGGTGCTCTCAGTGTGAGAATACGAGAAGCAAAATCAAATATTTACACTTTTCAGTCAAAATCGAAATTTTTCACCGGTTTAGGAAATTTCATCAGTTCCTGGGACCTGCAGAGATGGCTCAGAACATCAACTGATGTCATTACAGTGCCTCTGACCAGGAGGTCTTATGGTTCGTGTTCTCGTAGTGCGACACTAACTACATAGCCAGGTCGAAGTCAGTCGCTATCGGGAGGAGAATTCTAGCTGCAAACTAATCCGTAGTTTTTTGTGGTTTCTCCGACCAATCCCAGATGAATGTCGGAACTATACCTAACAAACAAGCATGGTTTGTGTGCAATCTCTCCTCTCTATTCCTTGACCTATTTATTCTCACCCCTTACTTACACACGCTTACACTTACATGCACTGCACTATCGAACCCTGATGGCTTAGCATAACGTTTCATAGTGTTGCAGGGAGAAAGGGTGCTTGGGGAGATCCTTACCTTTCCAAAGAGGCGGAAGCTGTTAGTGCCGGCGAAGCTGCCGAAGCCGTCGAGGGCGGCACCCAATTTGCTGGCGGCCAGCAGCGCCAGCCCGCGGCCCTTGGGGAGCCCCGCGCCTGCACACACGACCAGTCAGTGTTGTAGTCACTCCGCTATAAATGAACACGTACACACTCACACACATACACACACACCACAACCACAGAAAGATTGCTTTTCTCCATGGCTTGATGCATCAATTATATGTCCAGAATTCCTAGTTTTGAAAAAAATTAATTTGAAAGTTTGTCAAGGTGGAGTTACTTATGGCGAGACAATGTTGGCATTCTGTATAAAACCATGGTAAATGTTATTTGAGCATATAATCTTTGTACACTAGGAACGTATGAAAATTAAATAAATAAATAAACAAATAAATGCATAAATAAATAAATAAATAAATAAATAAATAAATAAATAAATAAATAAATAAATAAATAAATAAAAAGAAAGCACTCACTGGGCATGACGGCGTGGAGCAGCGCGAGCAGGCGCAGGCCGTTCCAAAGGAAGCGCATTGCGTCGACTGAGCACCTGCGCGCGCGCAACCTCAGGCGCGCACCGCCATGCGGGCGCCGGCGCCGCTGCGCTCCGCTTTCCTGCGCTATCGGCCGTTGCCACAGCGGCAGACTACTTCCCCGGGCGGGTTATATAATGCAAACCGTTCTAGGTATGTAGGTATTGTTATGGCATAAAGACCTTCGATCTAGACACATACTATCAAGTTATGTAATTTACATGTATATAAATATTATTCAATTATTGTATTAAAATATTATTATAAGTTTTTAAATAATTATTATAGTTTTTAAATAATTTAATATTTATATTTATAATTAGAGTTACGTAAATTTATTATTTCTATCCAATTACTCTTTGTGCCATTATATCACATTATAATGCAACTAGATAGGTTCAACCTGAACGAATCTGCGAAAGAAATATGAGAAATTCAAGTCTACAATTTCGAAACTTTGCAAAATGATGCTAAACTATTCATACTTTTTTTAAATATACTCAACTTTCTTAAAAGAAATTGCTTTTAGAATATATCTCTTTTTAAAAAGAAACACTCGTCAACATTGCACTTTTGTAATATTCAGTTATTGAAATTTTCGAAAATACAAGAAATTCACCGAAAATGGGACAAGCAAACTTTTCTTCGCCGTTTCTATACACAAGAAACAATTTGAAGAAAAAACTTCAGCCGTTTTTTGAGAAAATAATTGATTAAAATTTTCATACGTTTCACACAAAAACAACTCATATTTTGGAAAGTTGTACGTGACCTAATTTTAATAGCTATCTTTGAAGAACAGATTTAGTTACGGAATACATTTCTATTTTCGTTATTGCAGTTGTAGCAAGGCGCGGAAAAATTTGTAAACTTCGCAATTTCCGAAACTTTAGGGAGCTCAATGAAAACGCGATCAGAGGATACAAAGGTAATTATATAATCTTCCGCCATTTTTAATGTTGTCTCTTGTGAAGCCCGAGTACAACATTTGGAGACACAAGTGGCGTAGCGTAGTGACTCGATATAACATACATCGATAGAAACGATCAGCAGGTTTTCCTTAAAGATATATCAATACCCAACACCCGGCAATATATCAAGGGAAGATCCAGAAATGTAGCAATCTCGCTCATGAAGTCGCTGCTCAGTGGTAGTGCAACTTGACCAATGTGACATCTGTGCCAATAATATCAGCCACAGGAGTGATTCCGAAAACGACACTTCGAGCACTAGTGTCTTCACTTGGATTCCAAAAGTATATACAACATGCAGAAGGCAGTTATCTTGATAACATGCCATAATGTTAGAAGCCACCTGAATCTTCAATAAAGCAACTGCACACCTGGTCATTATACCTGTGAGTGGTTAGTTTACCGACCAGTAAAAACTGTGAAGAATTAAATAATAATAATAATAATAATAATAATAATAATAATAATAATAATAATAATAATGTCTGCAAAAACTTTACACCATTTCATTTCATATTTTTATCCCGCCTACGATTCGGGTCAATAAAAATGAGCACGGAATCTTTTATTACTTATTCTGTGACGAGTTCGTTAAATGAATGTATAATAACGACATCTTGCCCATTGTAGCCCCTGGCAACACCGCGTGTACTCGTAGAGATCTTTCGTATTTTATTTTGTGCTTAGATAGTTTATGACTAATATTATGCGAGAATAACTTCTATCATGTAAAGAATAGTGATTTCTATTAGCACATTTTCGATGGCGAAACCATTAATGGCAACTTGTCTGGTGAAAATGAATTGAGACGGGAGCTTAGAATATCTGTAGATATTCGTGAGCGTTTACAGCAGCAACAGAATTTGGCAGATAAGTTTGCTTATCTAACGCCTGTTATATTACCGGATTCGGATGATACTAAATGTAAGGCCGAATTCATAGTCGATCCTTAAGGAATAAGGAAATGCTGAAGCAATAAGGAGTTCTTCAAAAGGAGAGGTCACTTAAGGAGGGTTGTATTTCATAGACGTCTCTCATGTGAGCAGAAATGAGTGTTTTTTAAGGTATTAGAAATGTTGCAACGTTGCATTTCAGATGAGCCAGAATTTAATAGTGGTAACGGTGTGCTTTTGTTGTGACTTGTGTGTTTTGTTGTCCAATAGACATTAAATGCAATTATTCGAAGCTTGTATTGGCGATGATTTTGGCTTTCTATCAGTTCAAAATGCGAAATCTCTCTATCTGCTGAAAACGGTACAAAATTATTTATCTTACGCACCAACGTTTCTGAATGTTCAGGAATTATTCGTCATATTGTAGGTTAATTAACTTCATAGAGATTCGCGCAATCTAAAAAGACAGGTCATTTAATCTATTTTTTACATTTATCATATCTACAACGAAATGACCTGGAATATATAAATAAATTTCATTTACTTCATAAAATTACACAAGATTTGAAATATCTTCCAGTTTATTTTCACAGTGATTTTACGAAAATGAAACCATATACGAGTAAATTGTTGTTCGTTGTATATATACAATAGATTCTCAGCCTTTCTGACCTACTTCTTCATTACGCGGACGATATTTTGAGTATTACACTCTAAATACTCCAAGAAATCATCGTCGTTACCGCGTCGCGTATACTTATGTGTTCATAGACTTCAGCTGGTTAATCTTGTGGCGAATGAGGAATACTTATGGCTACAGGTGACCTTCCTTATTCGAACAAGTGGTTCCTCATTCGACACAAGTTTATAAATAAGGACTCTTTATGAATAGGAATCTCTTACCTAAAGAATACTCAATGTTAGAAACGACGATGAATTCGGCTCGTAATCTAGATTATACATCTGTCGTGGACTGCAAAATTGTATAGACACCATAGGCAACGAAGATAAATTAATGAATGTGACCCGCTTGGATTATGAAAATCTGTTGTAAAATGTAATCTGAAAAATACTCTGCCCAATATTATAATGCTCCGAATATCTCTCAGAATTGCCACAAGCAATGCCAGCTCTGAGAGGAATTTTTCAAAATTGAAATTGATCAAAACTATTTAAGATCAATTTTTTTAAGATCACTGAGTACTTTAAGGCTAACCAATCTGTCTATCTTGTCGATTAAGCACGAGGTATGTGATGCTATAGAGAGCAAAAGTGCAACAAAAGACTTCGCTCTTAAAAACGATAGAGGAATAAAGTTTTAGTTAAAGACAATTTTTGTTTTTAATTCTATCAATTATAATGTTTTCAAATAAAAATATAAATAGTAACAGTATCGTTCTAGTTCTAATTGGAAGTCTATTTGTGTTTTACTTTGCTGATATTCATTTCGCTAATAACTTAACCTTGTCAAGGTTCAATCATAAGTAATCATGTGTTATGTAATCATAAAATTCTGTACCTGGTATATCAATGTATGTGGCATACGTGTAAGAATATTTGTAATAAATGTAATTATTATATAGTAAAACATATATACATAAGTTTTTATTTGTAACCTGTGCAATAAGCAATAATATTGATTGTTCTTATCCTTTACAAGTTCCTTTTTATTCCGAATTACTGTATATATTAAACGAAGTACCTAAACTCAATTGAATTTTTATAATTGAAATTGAAGTACCTATCTAAAAGGGTGGTAAAATATTTCTCAAGCAACTGATACCCACATTACACCAGCGGGTGGCGCCCTGCACTTTTACATTGGCTGAAATATCATAATTAAGAATCAACAGAGAAATCGTCTCCGAGAAATTTTACATTCTCGTACGCCATTAAGATCAGCTCTAACACCGTTCACCTAACCGCTTGATAAAAGAGCGATTTTCTCAATAAAAAGACTGAACTGCTGGGTCGAGTCCACCTACGCTTGTTAACACACTAAACAACACATTAGAAACTGTTAACGGACTGTTAGAGAAAAGTTGCCTTTCACCCAACGTTAACGCCCACTAAATTTCCATTAAAGTTAATGGGCTCCACTCGTGAATATGGCCCTAGTGAAGAGCATCGAATGCTTTAGAAATCTCGACTAAAGCAACATCTAATTTTCAGAAATTTTTTAAACTTGCTTATATGTTTTGTTTAGGGTGGGTGATCTGGGCTGTTTCACATGACGCTGGTCGCGGAAGCCTACGACTTCTTTTGTTTGGGGTGACTATTTAGAGTGTAAAATCCACAAATTGTTTAATACATTACAAGATACAACTTTGTACTGCTTACAATTAGTAGTTTGGACGAAAGTAAAATCAACATGAAATTATCAGCAGGAGAAGCCATGTTAAGTTGGCAATCAAGTATTCCGGCACAACGCTCTGTTTCGCCGAAAGGGCGACGTCTCCCTCGAATAATTCCGCTCACAACCGCCGCGCGGCGACTAATTGCTTAGTGTTCTTTGAAGCCAAAGGAATCCGCGCTGTCACGCTCCGACACAACCTCTCAGAAGGCGCAATCCCTGTCTTGTCGTCTGGACGAAGGCATCCGCCCACTACAAACGTCCCCTGAACCGTCGACCTCTGGAACTCAAACACCTGCGGCCACCGGCGCCCTTTGATGGTCCCGACTGCTAATGCTTCCTTTGACCCCAACTTGCGGCTAACTCCCACTGCCTGAGGTTCAGACCACTCGCTCCTAGGCATTGTGGTCTGTCCACCTCCGTTTCCAACCGCAAGACTGCTCGCCTAAGGATGCAAATATTATCCTTGATTCGTGTGTGGTGTCTTGAGTACAGACTCCTGTCCATGTTGGTTTATGTCGTTACAGAACAATTCCCAATGTACGGTATTTGCTTGATCAGTGGGTCTATCTAATCTGAAAATATCTATACTTAGAATATTGCTAATTAATTTACTCTGTGTACACTACTGTTGACTTTTAGTGGTCTTGTAGGTCTCCCATTCATGTAGTAATGCAGGTAGCTTGTACAACAATGTAATAGTGGCATGTAGTTTTTTTATACTCTTTCTTCAGTCATTCATTTTCTTTAAGGAATTAGATATGAGGCGTTTGAGTGTTTATTTTGGCAGAACGCTTTTTCGGTCGCATTGTGGCCAGATTCAGTGCGATTCGGAGGCGGCTGGGGGCCTCTGTTCAGATACGACACCGACATTTAA